GTGAAACTTAACTTCCTCGGTGTGTAGAATGCACTTGGTGGCTATGAATAATTGCAAAGGATTCGTCCAACCACGGATTGCTGTATAAACATAACAAAACATAATATTAATAATTAATTAAAGTCATGTGAATGGAGAAATAACATGACAATTGAACATTATATGCGACTCCATTCAAAAAATTATATAGTATAGTATATTACTCATATAGTAACAGTATATGGACATCCAGAAATAACATTAATAATAGTATACGAATAATTTTTCATTTTACCTTCTAGAGTACATTGTTGGTGTTGTTGGTGTTGTTGGTGTTGTCACGCAATCCATATCACTGCTGGTTGTTTTGTTTCCGCCAGATTGGGAAGTACCTAGTTCAGTTAAAAGTTAAAGAATAAAGTTAAATAGTTATTAACTTTTAACTTAACTTAGTTAAATTTAATTAAGTTAACTATAAATTTCAATTATTTATGTAAAAACATATGTAAAATAACTTATTAATTTTTTCCTAAATTAAAAATTTACTTTTTAAACCATTTAAAAGAAAAAATATTTTAATACAACCAAAATATTTCGTTGTTATTTCATATAAACTTATTTTAAAAATAAAATATTAAATTGATTTGATTTATATTGTACTTTTTTTATTTTTCAGTAATTTTATTTTTAAAAATAACGACATTTGTATTTAATATAAATGATGTGTTATAAAATTAACTTTTAATTTAATTGAAGCAAATTTAATCTTAATGCAAGTTTTAACTGAGTTTTTCGTACATGCAACTTTTAATTTAACTCAATTATTTTTTTAAATCATTAACTTTAACTTAATTTAGTTTGAAAAAATTAATTACTTACTCGGCCCTGTATTTACATTGATTACGTCTTTGCTTGTACTTGGATTGCAGACAAGTGGAAATTCTCGACGAATAATTTTGAAATCCATATCTGCATTATCCACCGTATTTGCCCTGAAATATGTTCAAAAATGCGTTTGTCTTATCTATCACTTACTATTGATATTATCATGCTGAAAAATTTACACATAATAATAGCACGTTGTCAGGGATCGGTCGAATTTAAAATATGTATTTTAAATTTAAAAAAATAAAATTATTCAGGATTTATTACTTTAAATAATATCTTATAATGTATTATTTAATATTTAAAAAATATTTGTAAAATATATTTTTTTTATTTTTTATTTTTTTGTGTTAAAAATAAGTCGTATCAGTTTTTTACTGGCCCCTACGATATTTTATTTTATATAAGTTTCTGAAATTTATTTTATATTTCTTAAGATCGGAAGAGCACAC